ATATCGGAATCAGATGCATAGCTGTCTTCTTGTTCAATTGATTCCCTTGATTCTTGACCGAGTCCGTTCATCTTAATCACCCATTAATTGTCTGTCCAAGAAACAGATAAAAGGCAGTTGAATTGATGATGATGGATTTTGATTATCAGGCTTCAACTTAGACTACTGCAGCAGCAGATAGCTAGCTAGCTGTAAACATGCCGTTGCCAGCTTTGGATTCAACAGATAGCGAAGCGCTTCTGGAGCTTTTGGAGAAGGTGACTGCTGATGCTAGTCAAATACAGGATGAATTGCTGCAGGAGATTTTAACAACAAATGCAAACACCCAGTATCTGAAAGGTTTCTTAAATGGCTACTCTGATAAGCAACTTTTCAAGAAGGCGGTGCCGGTCGTAGAATACCAAGATATCGAGCCTTTCGTTGATCGGATAGCCAACGGAGAGTCATCCCACCTAATATCTGCACACCCCATTACTGAGCTACTCTTGAGGTAAAAAAAAAAAAAATTTTTTTTTTTAATAAAAAAAAGTCAATATTAGCCCCCTTTTTTTTTCAATTTGTTTACAGATTCGCTTATTTAATTTGATAGATTAATCCATCTCAATTCATGTAATCTGTTTTAGGAAGAAAAATACTCAACTCTTGAGGTGAACATATTTAGTTGCAAATTGAGAAAAAAGATTGCTTTACCAAAGGAGAAGAAAGATTAGGTAGACGACTTTGGTTTACGAAACATAACTTGGTCAAAGACTCAAGATTAAGTATTAACTTACCTTTTTCTTTTAATGATTGCTATCTCATTTGTTCCTGTTCTGAGTCTTCTGACTTTTTAACACTTCATTGCAGCTCAGGAACTTCCGGTGGAAAGCGGAAAGCGATTCCGACAACAGCTGAAGAGCCAAGGCGCAGGGCATTCTATGCCAGTCTCACTGCTACTATACTAAACAAGTGATCATATTTAGAATTCTTTTCTTCAAGCTTACTGCTCACAAATGAATTTTTCTTATCTAAGTTACCTGCAATTATTATAGGAGTGACTACTTGTTAAAGGTTTCTGCATTCCACGTTAGAATTAGGTATCTCCACAACTAATGCAGCTTCTAGTTGTCAGGGATTTTGCCAAATCCCTACTCTTAACAAAATCAAGGTCTGAAGTTCGATATACTACTAGTTGCAAAATATGTTTTGTTGATTTCACTGGAGTTCCCCGAACACAAGTAATTCTAAGATAAAGGAGAGTTGTCCAATTTGAACCATGAACTCTCTCATGCCATTACCCTTGAGGTCTTATATAATATAGATGGTTTACAGTATTAGATAAGTAGGTTTCAGTTGGTCGTTGAGCAACTGGACCCATTTAATTAGTTATCTTGTTGGCAAGTTTTAATTGGTCATTGAGGCTTGAGCAACTTATGGAAGTTGCTCAATGACTACCATAAAACTTCTATTGAAAATTAAAAATCCTTGTGTCTTAAAATTAGTCCTAGTTGTGTAAACAAGTACTTGTATCTCGATCCCACAAAATTCAAATTGTGATATTGTCTTGGCTGTATTTGATGCTTCCATTCAGGCACATTGAATTCTGGAATCAAGGTAAACAGATGAACTTTCGATTCATCATGCCAGAAATGACTACCTTGGGTGGATTGGCGGTAACTAATGCTGTATCAAGCAACTTCAGGAGGAGCAGAATGCAAAACCGTTCTAATTGCTGGAATAATGACACTAGCCCAGATGAGGTGATATTATGTCAAGATATCAAACAGAGCATGTACTGCCAATTAGTTTGTGGTCTTGTGCAGCGTGACGCCGTAGTGAGAATCGGAACAACTTATGCATCCGGATTTCTTCGCGTCATCAAATTCTTGGAGGAGCATTGGCAAGAACTCTGTTCCAACATAAAAACAGGACATATCAGTGATTGGATCATTGATCCTGGATGCCAGAAGGCTGTATCTTCGATTTTGAGCCAACAGATGCCCTGCTTAGCTGATTCAATTGAAATTGAATGTAGATCAGGATCATGGGGAGGAATAGTCAAGAGGCTTTGGCCTCGAACCAAGTGCATTGAGGTCGTCAGTACAGGGACTATGACCCAATATATCCCAAACCTTGAGTTCTACTGTGGTGGGGTGCCTTTAGTTTCAATGTACTATGCGGCTTCCGAGGGATTTTTTGGTCTCAACTTGAAGCCATTGAGCGACCCTTACAATGTGTCTTACACTCTTGTACCATGGATGGCCTACTACGAGTTTTTGCCACTAGGTCATAAGCAGAGTACTACACAAGAGCATAGCCAAGATAATGATACTAATTGCATGAGTACGCTGGGTGAACTCGTCGATCTTGTCAATGTGCAAATTGGTCAGCAGTATGAACTAGTAGTAACTACCTTTACAGGTTGGCTCTCTTTACTCTTCAACTTTGCTTGCATTGTCCTTCTTCAATTTAGTATATGCCTCGTTGGTGTCCACAATCAAATGACTGAGTTAAAAGTTACATACAAACACTAGCTATGTGAATGGTAACTTTTCTTGTTTCCAGTGTTCTAAACTTCTTTAATGCCTCGTTGCCCAAAATAAAAAATAGAAAAACCCTCAAGTCTAAATTTTTAGCATTGCCTCCTTCCTGTACGCTACAGGGCTTTACAGATATAGAGTTGGAGATGTTCTCATGGTAACTGATTTCCATAACAACACCCCTCAATTCAAAGTTGTGCAACGGCGTAATGTGGTTTTGAGCATAGACTTGGATAAAACAACTGAAGAAGGCCTCTTGAAAGCAGTTTCAAAAGCCATGCAAATCCTTGAACCACTTGGCTACCTTCTCACAGACTACAGCAGCTATGCAGACATGTCCAGTTTTCCAGGGCACTACGTTTCATCTATCACTGGGATTCGCAGGTTCCAATGTAGAGAAATATCGCGGGGAATAGCTGCCAAGTGTTGAGAGGTTTTATCCTTTTAACAAATGCGCAAAGGATGCTGCAATGTGGTGGAAAAGAGCATCAACATATGATGGGATGTACATAGCACTGCGGAGGCGAAGACCAGATGATTAATGGATCGTTGCCAAAATTTAAGTATATGAGCACACACGGGAACACGTTGCACGACCTGCATAGGAACATGTTTGCTGTTCCGCACGGTTGCTTCTTTAAATCAATACAATTCAAAGGAAGACGCCTAAGAGCATTAAATCTGAGAAGGCCATCCAATTCTTGAACTCAATGGTGGTGGAAACATTTTTCAGCCGAGTATTGCCTGCCTTTCCTCCGACGGGATGAATGAATGAAAGTTTAGCATCAAACCGTCTCGAAATCTTTGTGCAGGAAACTGTCTTGAAAAGACAGAGCCTTAATTTCAGTTAATCAAATCCGGAACATGCAATGCAAATGCATATAAATCAATTACTATCAATTTGCTGAGATGAAGTTAAAGCAAAACCCGGATGATGAAATTGGCAAATGCGGAGACTTTTGCCTTTTCTTTTCTTCTTTTCAAGTTTTGATGAGATGAGAGAAGCCGCCGCCAGAGGCAAAATGCCAAACTAACTAAGTAACTAACTAACGTGTGAGTGTGACGGATGCAAATGCACATGTCTGTATGTATGTGGCATCTTAGCTAATTACGCAATTTGCTATCTGAATATTGGTCAAAGACTCCAAAACAAAACAAAACAAAAAAAAGAAAGAAAGAAAGAAAGAAAGAAAAGGGTAGGGACTGGCGGATCAATAAAATTTCTTTTTTTTTATGCTTAAAATTCACAATATATATATATTTTATTTATTTTTTTTTTGCGCTTACTAAATTTATCAAGTTTGCCCCCGCATTGATTACGAAAAGAAAATATATTATTTGAGCATTGGTTGTCAAGATTTCCAATGATTAAACCTATACTGGCGCGTGGAATGATTTGCTAAATAATAAGAGCAATCTAAGTAATACCACATCATCCCATCACATTCTCGAATATGGTACCCTGTGGACAATTGAAATTTGTCCAACCTCGGCACCCGTCTTGGAGTTAAACGGGTGGAGCCCTTGAAACCCTGGTAGCGCTTGCGAGAGTGGACCTCCCCGCAGGATTCGATACCTGGTCGCCTCTGTATAATAGGGGTCTTTGGGTGATGTTTTCGCCTTGAAGGCGTAGAAAAAAAAGAGGCAAAACGTGAGGACATGTCGCCATTCGGAGGATGGACGAACCCGGATTCTTGATCTTGGAGGAGAGAGAAAGGGCAATTCAGTAAATTGGGTTGCATGGCCGCACCTTGCAGGCTCGTGCGCCAGCCTGTCGGCCCATGTTCCCTGTAGCTCAGTGGTACCAGGAAAAAAAGAGCAAAGCGTGAGGGACATGTCGCGCCATATCGAGGAGTGGACCCCGGATTTGATCTGAGGAGAGAGAAAGGAATCAGTAATTGGGTTGCAGCCGGGCCCACCTCTGCCGGTCCACCTGTGGCCCACGTTTCTGTAGGCTCACAAGTGCGCTCCAGGAAACATCTCCAAGACGCGCCTTGTTACAAGAGAGCGGCAAGGATGCGAATCCTGGGAAACTCGGCTTTCAAGCGCTACCAGAGGCGTTTCAAGGGTATCACGCCTTAACCCCAAGACGGTGCTGAGCGTGGACAAATCCGACCAGGGTTGGCGGCTCCAGAGTACCTATATATACAAAACTTAAATACTTAAAACATTGGGGTTGTAGTTTATTGGTTTAGGAGCTACATACAAACGGGTAATGAGTTGTAAAACGTAGTGAGATCCTTTCCATCTTGCCTTATTTATCAATTATAGCACGGTCATCACTGCATTTATAATTACTTACTATATGCTATATCATATATTGGCCCAGTATACTATTTATCAAACTCAAAAGAGCTTTTATTCTGAGTGTAATTTGCCGATCCATTTGACCACTTAAGAGCATAGAAAAAGTCAACAAGGACAAAAAAACCTTAAAAGAGAAAAAAAAAATACAAATCAAAACTACATCAAGTAGTCGAGAAAGAACATCATCATTTCAAATAACCAAACGAAAGATAGTACTGGATCCATTAATTGAAGGTAAATCACACTTTTTATTTCATTGGTTACAACTTTGCATAAAAACAAATAGAATATCCTGCATTAAGCCATGAGAATTACCATGCAGATTCTCAAGCTTTTTAAATTAATTGAAGGTGACGCATCGATCAAGGATTTGCGTGCCACACTAAAAATTTGTACGTCTTTGAAATTAAGAAGTACAAATATTTAATGCAAAATCAATTCTCATTATTCAAGAATTTAATAGTACTAATCAAATATGACCCCGTCAAGAGCCAATGCTCTCAGAGAAGGGATGACGAACGATGATGGCCGTGCTGCTTTGCATGATGAAGCAGTGCTCTGCGGGAAGGATGACGATGGTTCATCAATCTTGGGTGAGCCTCCTGGCCGTGGCCGTGGCCGTGGGCGTCATCAGCTCCGGCGACCAAATGGGACAGAGCACTCATGGCATGGGCTTGTCTGGACATGATTGCGGTGGTTGAAGGATTCCGGCCTAACACAACAGCGTATCCGTCGTCGTACGAATCCATTCCTTGGGCCATGAGCTGCCATATTAAGCTTCCGCTCATGGTTCCTCCGCTCCTTGCATAGCCGTATGTTATTCTGTACACGTTGCTCATGTAATCGTCTCTCGCTCTCAAGCTGTAGCCTGGATCTCTGCTGGACTTGCCAAATTCCGCGATGACTAGCGGCTTTTTCAGTATGGTCCTCGAGTCTTCCCAATGGCTTGACATCCACCTCTGCATAAATACCAACTGTGCTTTGTCATCTTTTCCAGATAACCTGCCACCCAATGTATTAATATGTGAGATCATGTCGGCTTTTTAGGATGCGATTGGCATTTAAACTGAAATTAAAAGATTAACATTATGTTAAGAAGGAATTAATTATATCATGCTTGCTTTCACGTTTTGATTGCTAAAACCATGGGATTATTGGTTGATATAACTTTTTTTTTTTTTTTTTAAATTTACCATTGATCTGGATATGCATGGATGGTGGCGAAATCAACGTCCCTGAGGAGATTGCTGCTTATGAAATCTGTTCCAACTTGGTAACCAGGATTAAATTGTTTCTTTTCGGGCTTTGTGTCCCCATAAAATCCTTCCATGCCAATCTCCAGCAAGTGCTTCCGGTCCAATGACTTCACGAAACTTGCCATCTCTCGAGTCCATTCCTATGATCAACAACATTTCAACTCATTCATTCATTCATTTCAGCACAATGTATTAAAAAAACTCTAACCAATATACATATTTCAAATGAAATGGTCGTGCCCGAAAAATGCACTAAAAAACTTGAGGGATACTAAAACGCAGCGGCAACGAGTCCTCACATTGACTGTCCTTCCGGAGTAATCAGCTTGGCAGCGGGGCTCGTTCATGAGTTCCCATGCCATGATTGTGGGATCATCCCTGTACGAAATTCTTGTAATTGTGTTGAACCTTGTCACCACTCTCTGCAAACGCGAACCATATGTACATTTCCCAAAAAAAAAAAAAAGCATTATTCGTCCAGATTAAAGAAAATAAATCTGGAAGACGTACATGGAAACATAATTACCGACTCTTAAATTGCAGCTTTCTCTTAGTCTTACCCTGATGTGATCTTTGTAGTAGCCTTTGATGGTGGGATTCGTGTAGAAATCATCGTCACCGTTGACGTGTGCTCCTGCATTTCGAGCCCACTGAGCATACTGCCTTCTACCGCCAAAGTCATTGTAATTGTTCACAAAACTCAATATCAAACGAATTCCATGCTTCTTTGCCTCAGAAATCGCAAAATCCAGCGCCTGTATAGTGGTATACCACGTACACCAGCATTGCAATTAAGCTAGCTAGTTGCAATACAAAAATAGAAGTGCTTGAAAAAAATAATTAGAATGAACCTGAAAAACACGTTCATCATAAATTCCAGGTGATATTTGAAGTGCACGGTCGCCTCCATCGCCGAAAGCCCAGGTTCTGCATACCGAGAGACCGGCAGCGGAGGCATCTCTCAACACTTCAGACACTTTATGCCTCTCGCTAGGGTCAGCGGCTACGTGCATCAGCCAATAGGAATTGAATCCATTGAAGAGAAATGGTGAGCCATTCAGAACAAAACGAGCACCCTGAGTCCTAACAAATCCTGCACCATTTCTTGCAACCGTACTACCGCTAGCTTCACAAGCAAGAACTAGTAACAGTAGTGCTACTAGTGCAGCAGCTAGTCCAAAAAGATGGCTTATTCTTCTACTACAACTTGCCATTGATTGATGGACACAATAGAATGATGTGTGTTGCTATAATGCTGGAGGCTGTTAATTTGAGTGGTTGATGATGGACGAGGGGGATATGATGAATTGCGGGAGGGGGGCGCTATTTATAAGGTGCGGATGATAAGAAGAGTTGCTAAAAATAGAAAACCTAGCGGCGGAAGTTAAGTAGGTTTTCCGGTGACGGTGGTTTGCTAAATTGATTTAACTATGGAGATTCGTTCGATGATGCATCATGCATGCAGGGGTGGGGTATCACTATCACGTAAAGTGGGGTGAGAAGAAAGAGTATGAGAATAGAGACAGAGAGAGAGTTGATTGGTTGAAAGCCGAACGTCTGCCGAAGAATTCATGGGATTGAGGTTTTGCGAAAGGTTGACGAGGGAAAAAAACAAAAACAAAGAAAGGCCGGAGGGGCTGCTAAATATAGCTGATGTGCTTATCCCATGTGGTTGGTTTAATTTGATCCTTGAATTATGGATGGTATTCTTAAAATTCATATTGCTACGGCAAGAGTTGTTACCCAACCGAATTTTTAACGAATACTGCCATACAAATTAAAGAGATCGATCATACTCATTCATGATGAAGAAGAGCGCATAGCTCTTGCCACCAAAAAATGGGGAAAAAAGAAACAAGAAAAGGTG